AAACCGATTTTGAAAAGCATTCATTAATAATTTGTGTAAAATTGGACCTATATTATGGGTAAAATTGTGAATAATGTTTAAGTAGTATCGCACAAGCACTTGTTAGCTCTGGTGGGATTTTGCTGTAGTAATCACAGTGGATAATAAGACCAACAACACACTATATAGTGTGATATTTGTATTCAAAAGATATTAAAGATATTTTGCTAGTTGCTTTGTCTATTTTTGCCCCAGCAATGAAAATAGTTCAAAATCCACACCATTATCATTGGACTTCTCTTGATCAACTGACAGCAGTGAGTTCCTGAATGAATCTGCATTTGAGCGAATGAATCAATAGCTCACTCATTTAGACAAGTAGTTGTGTCCCAAATAACCTACTATTCACTATGCACTTATATATGCACTATGTACTACGTAAGCCCATTTCTGCCACAGAATTTAAAAAAACATGCTTTGGCAAATCATGATACGAAAAGCCAAAATTTTGACATTCATTGACATGAAAAGGTGTTTTTTTTTATCTCACAATTATGCCATAGTTTCAACTTTTTATCTCATAATTATGACTAATAATTTTGTCTTTTTGTCATAAAGACTTGCTATCTCATAATGATGACTTACTGTGTCAGTTTCAACTTTTATCATAATTATGACTCATAATTTTGTCTTGACTATCTCATAATGACTCAATTTGATCTTTTTGTCATGGCTTTCTTCTATCTCATAATGATGACTCACAATTTTGTCTTTTTGTCATAATGACTTTCTGTCATAATGATGACTCATAATTTTGTCTTGGTCATAATGACTTTCTATCTCATAATAATAACTTTGTGTGTCAGTTTCAACTTTTTAATTCATTATTATGACTCAAAATTTTGTCTTTTTGTCATAATGACTTTCTATCTCATAATGATGACTTTGTTTCAGTCTTTTCTCTCATAATTATGACAGTATGCCATAATTTCAATTTTTTTAATTTAACACATTTTATCTCATAATTATGACTTAGTTTCTCAGACTTCTCAATGACAGTTGTCAACTTTTTATCTCATAATTGTGAATTTGATCTCATAATTGACCGTCATATTTCGACTTCTCATAATTATGATTTACCAAAGCATTTTTTCCATCACATACTCCATCTAGTGTATGAATCTCAGAAGGTTATTTATCATCCAGCATCAGAGTCTGATAGCCCCTCCTCCTCTGCTTTTGTTGAGTGCATGAATTGTTCAATATTTCACTGTGCTCAATATTTCAGGGTTTTTTTTTTTTTTTTGCATTAGGCAAGTGCATCATCAGAGTATTTGAAGTGCACTTTTTGGGAATTTTCAGTTTGAAGACTACTTATTTATACTACCAAATCGCACAGAATAGTGCATAAGAATGCAATTTATGACACACCTGGTCTCTTGTTTCATTCATCTTTCTGTTGTGTTGGTGTAGGGTGCATTCTGGGGTCTGATAGTGGGCATGGTGGTGGGCTGTACAAGGATGGTTCTGGATTTCGTCTATCCAACACCACAGTGCTACGAGAGCGACAACAGGCCTGACATCATCAAATATGTTCACTACCTGTACTTCTCCATCATTCTCACTGTCCTCACACTCATCGTGGTTGTGTGTGTTAGTCTGGCTACAGAGAAGCCCAAACTGGAGCAGGTTAGAAAACACACACACAAAAGACCAACCCTAACCCAGTTTGCAATTTCACAAAAAAAAATACTTTGCATTCAGAAATGTCTTTTCATAAACCTTAAAGGGGTCATATGATGCGATTTCAAGTTTTCCTTTGCATGTCAACATATTCTGTTACACCAAATACACAAAATAATTATCTTTAAAAAAGCATCATATGACCCCTTTAAAGGGACAGTTTACCCCAAAATAAAATCATTTATTTGCCCTCATGTTGGTCCAAGCCAAACACTTCTGACTTCCATAGTATGGAAAATAAAAAATACTATAGAAAGCAATGGCTACCGTCAACTGTTTGGTTACAGAAATGTTTCAGAATATTTTGTGCTCTACAGACAAAAAGAAACTCATACATGTTTGGCACAGCTTGAGGGAATGACAGAATTACAATTATTGGCTGAACTATCCCTTTAATTTGGGAAATACACTCATATAAAGGGTTTGTTATTTTCCAGATCAGTCATTTGACGTGGTACACACGCTTTGACCCTGTGACAGAAAGCAAAGAGGTTGTGGTTTCAGATCTCCAGATGATCGAGGATGCCACACAGTACTCAAAAGACATGGAAAATGATGCATATCCTACAAAAGAGGGTACTTTGTCCAATCCATATGCAGGCACAGATAAATGGTGTTGCAAATTGTCTAGTTTATCCCGATCTATTTTTTTGATAGTCCAGTTATCCAGCAGAGGGAGACAAAGCCATTTCATATTTTTCAGTGTGTTTAAAGGGATAGTTCACCCAAAAATGAAAATGTGATGTTTATCTGCTTACCCCCAGGGCATCCAAGATGTAGGTGACTTTGTTTCTTCAGTAGAACACAAACGAAGATTTTTAACTCAAACCGTTGCAGTCTGTCAGTCTTATAATGGAAGTGAATGGGAATCACGGCTTTGAGAGTAAAAAAAAATAATACACATACAAATAATATAAACATACACAAAAAAAAAAAAAAATTAAACACTGCGGCTCGTGATGATACATTGATGTGTAAAGACACAAAATGATCGGTCTGTGCAAGAAACTGAACAGTATTTATATTGTTTTTTACCTCTGATTCACTGCAATGTCCGAACTGTCCTGAGCGCGTCTCGCATCTTCTTCTTCAGCCAGTGCGTGACGCGTCGTCTTCTTCTTCTTGAGATACTGCCACCTATCTCTCAAATGGACCATTGACACTCCTAATTGGGATTGTAGATAGAGTGTCAATGGTCCATTTGAGAGATAGGTGGTAGTAATGCACTTATAAGTCTGCAATCCGCCGTAAAGCAAGAAGAAGATGCGTCACGCGCCGGCTGTCGAAGACGCGCTCAGGACAGTTCAGACATTGCAGTGAATAAGAGGTAAAAACGATATGCTGTTCAGTTTCTTGCACAAACCGATCATTTCGTGTCTTTACACATCAATGTATCGTCACGAGCCGCAGGGTTTAATTTGGTTTTGTTTGTGTATGTTTTTTTGACTCCCAAAGCCGTGATTCCCATTCACTTCCATTATATGATGACAGACTGCAATGGTTTGAGTTAAAAATCTTCGTTTGTGTTCTACTGAAGAAACAAAGTCACCTACATCTTGGATGCCCTGGGGGTAAGCAGATAAACATCACATTTTCATTTTTGGGTGAACTATCCCTTTAAATGAGGGGAAAGATATGAGAGGAACTGAAACAAATGGAGGAACTGAAATATTTTTAAGCATACAATGACTCCAAACATTACTTAAATATCTACATCACATTTAATATCTGAACATCATTGCATTACATAAAAATTGCAATCTGCAAACAAATGATATAAAATGCACTAAATCTCCTAATTATATTCATGTAGGTAATACTTGTTTTTATCTCTTTACATGTAATTCTGAATGCATTATTTGTCAGCAGACTCCAGTAGTTCTGCGTCCAGCAATGCAGGTTCATCTAAACTCAAGTCTGCTCTGTTCTGGATCTGTGGAATGGAGAAGCAGAAAGGAGAGAAACCCAAGTCTCCTCCTCCAGAGGCTCAGACGTGTTCCCTCGAGGAAGAGCCCTGTATGAGACACCTGGTAAACGCCAACCTCATCATCTGTATGTCAGTGGCTGTGTTTCTCTTCGCTTACTGGGCATAGTCACTTGTCCTTCATAATTTATTGTGACTGGTGTGAAAGAAAATCTCCATGCAGTATGTACTTAATAAATTAATATTATTTATAATATATCATAAATCAGTTTTGACTTTTTTTTTGCAACCAACACTTCACCAATTTGTCCTTGATGTTTCTGTAAATTACACCGTATTTAAAAAAACAACTGGTTTTGATTTCTGTAATTAAGCATTTTATTAGATATATAATCGGAAAACAGTTGCTGTGTTGAAAAAAATGAATTTGTACAACATCTGTTCATCTGAGGCACTGGAGAACATGAAGAACGAGAATTCAGATGGAGGAAATGTGCACCCAGACGTACAAAAGGGGGTGAAACAGAAAAAAAAAATCAAAATGTACAATTAAGAGCCAATTAAAGACAACATATCCACAGAAATAAAGACACACACTCACTCTTGAAAGGAATGAATGACTTTGGCTTTCTAGCTGACGGTTCCTGAGCTTGACTGATCCATTAACCCTTTCATTCACATTTATGTTGTCAGTGCTGTTTTTGCATTGCGTACAACATGAAATAAACCCCCTAAAGCTCTGACACAGGATCATACGCTTTAAAAAAAAAAAAGCATCTTTGGTCATTTTGAGAATGAAGTATTTCATAATAGCACATGCAGGGTTTATTTTAATGGTCAACAGTGGATGGATAAATGTAATAAATTGGTACTTGGTAGTACATACTCCACTAACATAAACCCTGTAAAACACAATTACAATTGTTAAAAACTACTAAACTAATACAAAAACGACTAATGTCATAACACTACACTGCAGTCAGTATTGCACCCCAGGAAAAATACTTAAAAAATACAAATCGTATGCATGTATTAAATCAATCGTATCTGTATAACCATTATTTTTCTGAAGCTTTTTTTTTCTATCCAATTTTTGTATTAAAAGAGAAAAGGAATTATTAAAATAAATTTGAAAAAAACAAAAAAAAACATTCACCATGATAACCAACAAAAACATGAAGCAAAGTGTCACACAAACTCAGTGATTTGGTACGTTTTTTCAAGGCACATATATAACGCTTGTTACGCAAAACATCACAAAACTGAAAGACATTCATACTTGATTAAAACCCAAACTAGCTTTATGCTAAAAATGTATAGCATGTTAATGTGCGTACTGTTTTTTTTTTTTTTCCCTGGTATGTAGTTACAATGTGCCAGCATTGTGAGGACAGAGAGAGTTTTCTCTAGGGGTTAAAGGTTAAAGTGAATGGCTATGTTAGGAATAGCATACTACCAAACTATTTGTGCTGTATGTACTATTTTCTGTATGCTTTGAATACCCAGATGACCTACTATAATTGCACACTGTGCTGGGTACCATATCCCACAATGCAATGCATCGACTTGACATTCCATCTCCACTGTGACGTTTTAAGCAACTGTGATGACTCATTTGATCATTCTCACAAAATACTTTTTTTTTTTTTTTTACTTAAATCTGAATGCTTAATACCTATATTAATTCAAAAGGTAACTGAGGTCACGTTTAAAACGTTTTTCATTTTGCATGCTTTCACATCCTTAAAAACAATACACTATGCAGTAAGTATGCTAGTATTCTATTACGAACATAGCTTTCCATTGGCTGTGTGAAGACTGGACTCCGCCCACCTCACAGGGCGGTGTTTTCTGATTGGTGTTCATCTTCTGAGAGTGTTTCTGTGGTTTCATCCTCCTCAAGCTCTGGGACAAGATCCAGCCCTGGTCCCGTCAAAGATCTCTCCTCTACATCTCCATCTGTGCAATCATAATGCACAGTTAGGATATTTCAAAGAAAACTATTTATCATATTTCCACCAAAATTAAACTTCCAAAAAAACTGACCTTCAAGATAAACAAGCAATATTTGACAAAACAAGAATGTATCATTTAACAAGATGCACTTGGGTGATATCCAATATTAATATTATTTTATTTAAATGATTAAATAATGAAAATAATGTAGTGTAGTTGTGACATGTATAAACCAATAACAATACTAATATGATATTAATATCTAAACATGATAAAATGTACACTACTGTTCAAAAGTTTGGGGTCAGTATGATTTTTAATGTTTTTGAATGAAGTCTCATGCTCACCAAGGCTGCATTTATTTGATCAGAAATACAGTAAAAACAGTCATATTGTGAAAAATTACTACAATTTAAAATAACTTTTCTATTTGAATATATTTTAAAATGTAATTTATTCCTGTGATATAAAGCTGAGTTACTCCATTACTCCAGTCTTCAGTGTCACATGATCCTTCAAAAATCTGTCTAATATGATTTGCTGCTCAAGAATCATTTATTATTATCAATGTTGAAAACAATTGTGCTGCTTAATTAATTTTTTCCAGGATTGTTTGAGGAATAGAAAGTTTAAAGGAACAGCATTTACTCTAAGAAAAAAAAAATAAAATAAAAAAATAAAATATATATATATATATTGTAACTTTATAAAAATCTTTACTGTCATTTTTGATCAATTTATGGCATCCTTGCTAAATAAAATTATTTAAACAAAAAAACCAATATGACCCCAAACTTTTAAAACTGTAGCATACTCAAATGTTAAATAATCAATAATGTTAAATAATACAGTATCTGTGGCACAGCTAACATACACCCTGCAGAAGCAGCCGAGGTTCATGGGTAGGGAGTTACTGTATGTTTAGTTGCATAAAGCATGTGCTGGTATTTTATCCTAAGACATGCCACAAAGACACTGGTTAGGCAGCTTGTCATGCAGGTTAACTTGCTGTTAGTCGGATTAAACAGGCAAAGAAAGCATTCAGACACACACAGATGGAGCTGACAATACAATGACTGATACACCCAGAGTTCTTACCATCGCCTGCCACTCAAACCACACCTCACAGGCAGAAGATCACACATCTGTAACAGTGCAACAACGTCACAACATGTTCAAAGGATCAAACACTGATGACGAGCAACCACCAGCAAAGTGAAGCGAATCACAATTCAGACAGCTGTGAACTTCCATAAAGCCAATCCAATCACATCTCAGCCTTTGAAAGTCAACATGAAACATTTTCCGCAACAAATTTTACTTCCATAATATGTCGAAATTAACTGGATTATACAAATTACAACCACCAGTGGTTGAAAGTTTGGAGTTGGTAAGATTTTTAAATATTTTTGAAAAATATTTTCAAAAATTAGAACATTTCTTTGATTAAAAATACAGTGAATCTGTAAAATTGCAAAATATTATTACAATTTAAAATAACGGTTTTCTATTTGAATATATTTTCAAATGTAATTTATTCCTGTGATGCAAAGCTGTAACATGATCCTTCATTGTATTAATATTGCACAATGTGAATGTATTTTTTTAAATCAAATAAATGCTGAACGTAAGCAACTTCTCTAAAAATGTATGAAGTGTATTTTTCTTCAGATTAACATGTGCACAATAATATCAGGAAAGTAAACAGGGTGAGGTTTGACTTCATGTTGGCTTTTCGGATGAAGTTCTGATGGCAATGAACCACCAAAAATAGTGTCATTAAACACTGAAAGTGGTGATTTCTTTAAACAATGCAAGGAGCATTAATCATGGTGCTGGTAATGTCATTAAACGAGGCAGCATCGCAGCTCTCTCTCATGCAGATGCGGTGTGCAGTGAAGCAGGAGAGCGTCTGAACCTCGGGCCAAACACTGAAGGACTCCTGGCGGCTGCTGATATTTCCACAACCGCTGGAAACGGATCCATCTATTGCAGCATGTGGTTTCACTGACCCAAACTTACCACTAAGATTATTACACACGACGCATCCTACAGTCAGGCCAATGGTGACAATTCATGTTATGAGGGAGAAATGTGAAATCCAGACATAAAGATGTGTGTGTGTGTGTGTGTGTGTGTGTGGATGAAAGTCAATTTCGGTATTAAACACAACTGAAGATCTGTGTTCAGTTCTGAGTTGAAATAATAGATGCCAGGGACAAATAAACAAAGGGGCTGAATGGCATGATGATTAATAATAAATTATGATAATTAACTGTCATGGAACATTCCGTTTTCCAAGAATAGAATTCATCTTTCAAATGAAGACTTTTTTCTTTCTCCCTGATCGAAATGTTACTTCTTTGGATACATTTCTGCCCAACTTCAGCAAAGTTCTGTTTCAGGAAGACGAACAGAAGAATGAATCATCTGAGATTTTTATGTAAAATATTTGAAGCCAAATTAAACATACAAATTCAAAGATTAATATTCTATCGATTACATGACATTCAAGGAATGTTTCAGGGTCAATGCGAGTTAAGCTCAATTGACAACATCTGCGACATGCTGTTGAGTATCACAAAAAATAATTTTAACATTCCTTAATTTGCAAAAACTAAAACATTGTTTAGTTATACATTTATTATGATTACTTTAGACTTTCACTGTAAGTGCATTTCTGTAAACAGGCTTTTTGCCCGTTTTTACTAATTTCATTTTATTATTTTACTAATAAAATGTAAATTATTTTATTATTGTTATTTATTTAAAATTATTTCCATTTTATAATTCATCAGTATTTCCTACATGTCATGGATGCTGTCCATTGTTCTACAAGTAATGAATTTAACATGGAACATTCCTATTCATATTTTATTTTATTATTTTTAATTAAAACAAAATTATTATTATTATTTATTCACAATTACTTCTATTTTATAATTCAGAGGTATTTTCTACATGCCATGGTGCTGCCCATAGAATTTAACTTTTAATTTAATGTAAGCTGTAACATTCCTTCTCATATTTAATTGTATTAATTTTTTTATTATTAAAACATACATTTATATCATTTTAATTTCCTTATTTATTTTTCATTTATTTAAAATTATTTCAATTTTAGTGAACAATATTTGAGAGAAATAGGCCTTTTGTGTACATAGAAAAAGTCTTAGATCTTTGAGTTCAGCTCATGAAAAATGGGGGCAAAAACAAAAGGGTTGCGTTTATAATTTTGTTCAGTGTAGATAGGTATTTTCTAGATTCCATGAATGCTGTCCATAGAGCTTAACTTCTATTTAACCTGGAACCTTTATTTCTTTTCATATTTATCGTTGTTATTATTATTATTATAAATAGAATTTAAATTATTCGTTTTTTATTTAAAAATCATTTCCATTTTATAATTCAGAGGTATTTTCTACATGCCATGGATGCTGTCTATAGAGCTTAACTTCTATTTAACCTGGAACCTTTATTTCTTTTCATATTTATCGTTGTTGTTATTATTATTATTATTATAAATAGAATTTAAATTATTATTCGTTTTTTATTTAAAAATTATTTCCATTTTATAATTCAGAGGTATTTTCTACATGCCATGGATGCTGTCTATAGAGCTCAACTTCTATTTAATTAACCTTTATTACACTTTATTATTAATAAAATAAAATCATTATTAATATTTTTAACCGTATTATTATTATTATTATCTAATTTAACATGGAACATTCCTTTAAAGGATCGAGGCAACAAAATCTTGAAAGTTGTGACAATCAAATAATTCCGCAACCTTTATATTGTATATTTAAATATAAATGTTAAATATCAAATTTGCCACAACTATACTGCAAGTAATGCATAAAACAGTTAACAAAAACACCTGTTTTGTCCTGTATTAAAGATTTATCGCTCAAACACCACTGCTGTATGCTGCTAACACTTGCACACTGTGTACGACATCTATCCTGACAAGCCTACTTATGAAAATAAAGCTTGTTAACTCTGGATCTGGGATTGTTTCAAAACTTTATAATCTGAAGATGGAGTTTTTAGTCTCCAACAGCATCTGCAAGTTTCTTTCGTCATGTTAAATGAGCTTAATGGAGCCAAACCCTCAGGAGAGTTGTTTGGCAGGGGCGAGTGCTGGGCTTTCTGAGGTACACAATAGACTGACACTGAACACCTGCCGTTTATACAGACTCCAGACGAGTGTGTTTCCATATTAGAGTTGATTGAGCTGTAGAAATGTGTCATAATGAAACAATCAAAGAGAGTGCAAATGACATCCACTGAGCGCTTGACGTTCCCATCAGGTTTGTACAGACAAGTCCATTTCTGTAGTTGTGTACATTTGACCTCAGGAAAAGGATAAATGTGCTATTTTCGTTTGAATTTCCATATTTTTATTAATGCAGAAAAAAGATGAAATGAAAAAAAATGTCTGGATGCTACCATATAGCTTGCAATTTGGTCATATGCTGTATTTGTATTTTCTAGAAATAAATAGAAACAATTAATCATTTTAAAATGATTATAATAATTTTTTTATAAAAGTATTTAATTATTTCCATGATCATTTTTATAATTACATTGGCTACACAATGTACAACATTTTGCTCATATGTTGTATTTTTACAAATAAAATGAAATAATGAATCATATTATAAATAAAATAAAATGTCCATTATTATTTATTATAATTACATTGGCTGGACATTGTAAAAGATTTTGGTTTTATTTCATATTAATAAATTAAATAATATTTTTTTCAATGGAAAAAATCTAAATATGTATATTTAATATTTAAGGATTTATATTTTAATATAATGTATTAATATTATTGCATAATTATAATTCTAAACAATTGTATAATTTATTTATAAAATAACAAAAATGTGTTTTTTATTATTATTAATCTTTTTTTTTTGTGCAAAAATGTCAGCATGTTGTTGGAGTTTTTTCAGGATTTTCCTTACCTGAGATAATCTTGGATCCAGAAACACAGACACCGTTGGCGCCGTCGATAGATGGTTGTGGTGGTGGCGGGCCGCTGGGTTTGGGTCGTGCTCGAGGGGTGGGCCTGGGGCGCAGCTGGGAGCCGTCGTGAGGAGGTGTACCGGGAGGGGTGGGCGTTCTGGGAAGGGACGGTTCGGCTTCTTCTGTGCTCTGGGGAGGAGGCTGAGGAGGAGGGTGGCTGGGGGCCTGAATGGGGGTCTGGTTGTTGCGGCGGGGTGCGATGAGAGGCTGAGGAGTGCTCGGGGCTGAGGGCTGGTTAGGAGCCGCTTTTACGCTCTGTTTGGGAGGTGCTGGGGCTTGTTTCTTTGTACCTGAAACCAAACGGTCCAGACATGATTTCACTGGCTAATTGACAACATGCATTTTAAAGGGTTAGTTCATCCAAAATGAAAATTCTGTCATTAATTGCTCACCCTCATGTCGTTCCAAACCTGTAAGACCTTTGTTCATCTTCTGAACACAAATTAAGATATTTGATTTGTTGAACCACTGATGTCACATGGACTGTTTTACCGATGTCCTTACTATGTTTCTGGGTCTTTAACGTGTCGGCTGAGTTGCTGTCTATGCAGGTCAGAAAGCGCTCGGATTTCATCAAAATATCTTAATTTGTGTTCTGTTTGGAACGACATGAGGGTGAGTAATTAATGACAGAATTTATATTTTTGGGTGAACTTTCCCTTTAAGGATGCACTGATTATGACATTTTAATTAATTCGCTTCTAATTAATTATAGCTGAAAAATGTCCAAATAACAAATAGCTTTTTGTCAGAAAGAATTTTGATTGAATTTAATTTTAATTAACTAATTTTGATTAAAAACACAATACAAACATAAAAATCAATCCTTTTTAAATGCTACAAGTGAACTTAGGCATCACAACATTATAATGTATAGAGTATAAAAATGGATATTAATTTTGAGACTTGCTAATGATTAAATCTAAATTATTATTTTAAAGATTAAGTTAGTAAAAGTAATGTAAATGTAAAAATTGGGGAAATGAGCATGCAAAATTAAATATGTAACACATAAAACAATTATATATACACAAATATATACACTACTGTTCAAGAGAATTATTTTTGTTTTTGAAAAAGGTCTCTTATGCTCATCAAGGCTGAATTTGTTATATCGAAAATACAGTAAAAACTGTAATATTGTGAAATATTATTACACTTTAAATTAACTGTTTTCTATTTGAATATAATTTAAAATGTAATGTATTCCTGTGATGCAAAGCTGCATTTTCAGCATCATTACTCCAGTCTTCAGTGTCACATGATCCTTCAGAAATCACTCTGATATGCTGATTTGATGCTCAAGAAACATTCCTTATTATTATCAAGGTTGAAAACAGTTGTGCCGCTTAATATTTTTGTTTTCAAAATTTCATATTTTTTATATTTAATATTTAAATACATAATGATCAGTGTAAAGCATCCTTGCTGAAATAAACTGTTAATTTCTTTTACTTTTAAATGGAAGTGTACTCTATATTGACTGATAACTATTAAAAAAACTGTAATATGATAACCAATATATTGCACATCTCTAATAGATCTGAATAAAGATATGAGGAAAGATAATAAGTTCTGACCTCTGCGGCCCAAGAATGGACTGGGGCCCTTAGGACCTGAGGTAGGGGTCACCACATTCAGCTGAGCGGGCGTCCCACTCAGACCTCCCGGGCCGTTCCTCATGGCAGGGGGTGTGGATGCAGGATCTCGGGCGATGTTACTGGGGAGAGAAGAAAAGCAGGGAAGTTCCATCAGGGGTCACACTGCAGGATGTATACACAGGTCAGTTCACATGCAGGGACGGTAAAATGTAGTGGTCCAAGTTGAGTTAATGACTTGCACTTAAAAGTTAATACAGATATTATATAGGACATGCTTTAAGGAAACACAGTTAGCAAAGTTAGCAGTGTTTTATTCCGCATGCAGTGCATCTTCTCCACTAAAGAAAGAACAAGCAATAGAGAAAGGCAAGGCAGGACACACAAATTCAAGCATCAGAGAATATTCTACAGAAAAGAGACACTAGAAGGATTTTGGCCCTGACTGGGATAAATCAGCATGATAATTTGACAAATTATCCTTAACTTGAGATTTGAGAGGCATTTGCTTCAATCTTCCCGAATTAATAAATCAAAAACAGGAAAACAGGTTGGGAAACTTTTCTTTATTATATTGACCAGGGTTTTTAAAACTTTTGTTTTGAATCCAAGGGTCCCAAGTGTTTTGCAATGGACTCTCTAAAAAAAATGAAAAAATAAAAATATGATGTGTAAAAGACTGGCTGGAAACAAACCAGAAGAAATACATAAAACTGTCCATAAATTTTATACAAATAATTGGGATTAATCTAATGATTTATGATTTCTGAATAGTCTTTACAAAACAGAACAAAACAAATTATAACTTCATAATAAACTTTTAATAATAAACTATATTTTATTTTTAATTGATTTAGAAACAAAAAATCCTACACACTATCCCAGCATGCAAAAACTATCAAAATTTATTAAGCAGTTTAAAATTTTTTATTTAATGATTTATTTTACTATTTAAATTTTTTTTTTTGCCCCACATTTTCAGCTTAATTTTTACATCCCAGCCTCCAGCCCCCCGCCAGTGGGCGACAGAGGGGAGGGCTCAAACACGAAAACCCCCCCGTCGTCAATGGGAGGCAGAGGGGGCTGGAAGGTAGGCGTGGAGTGCTGCTTTTTATTTACTGTGCCAGCTCTACGAGGGGCGATTTCCGGCTGTTTGTTAGCAGGGCTACAGGGAAGAGGGGAGACAGCATGAAACACTCACGCCAGAGAGTGACAGTGGGGTATTAGTCTCCACAGAAGGGAAGGAGGAGAAGGACAGGACCACCACCTGGCCACTGGGACAGCAACCAGAGAGATGTGTTGGGAACGGATGAGATTTCAAATGGTTTGTAGAATTTAAGGATTCAGCATAAAAATGTAACATTTTCAACATATCATAAAAAATAATGTATGTACATATATATATATATATATATATATACCACAAGTTATATAGTTACGCCACAGAAACAAAACAGGTGGCTGAATCATTCACTCAACCATTTCATTAAAAAATGCTAATTTAATAAGGATCGCCACTACTGTGTGTTGCTCTGAGACCCGTGATGGTTGCTATTAATAATAGGCAATAAATATCAAGTATAGTGCACACTATGCAACTGAATGTTGCATCACCAAATTAAAAAATATATATATATACTGTAAATTTACACCAGTAAAGGACAACAGACTTTGATACATTTTATATTTTGCCACTAAATTTAACTGCAAAACCTTGAACATTTTTTGTGTATGCTAAACATTGTACCATAGTTAAAAAATGAAGTATTCTTTCATTAATGTAAAATTAATCAGTGTTTATATTGTTAACTAAAACTATTACAATTTGTTTTTACTTTAAATAAAGCTATCTATCTATCTATCTATCTATCTATCTATAATACATAAGTATAATATATACATATATAATGTGTAAAATAAAATAAATATTAGGTGTAAATCTTACACATAAAAAAAACTTTTCACTTAACATTTAAAAAATTTTGTTGTTAAAGTACTAATACTAGTACTAAGTACTAGAACTAAAACTGAAAATGAATTAAAAAAGCTAATAAAATGACAAAAGCAGATAGTGATGTGATAAACCCAGTATTGTATATTATGAATACTATCAGCTCTTTGACAAATTGCTTTAAGTCGCTTTGGATAATAGCATTTGCAAAATATATAACTGCGAAATTACTAAAACGTAAACTAAAATTAAAATGAAAATTTAAAATGTAAAAAATAAAATAAAATAAAAGCTAATTAAATAGAATTTTATACATATATTTATTGTTTAGTTTCTGTTTAGGTATATAAATTAGTGCTGTCAAACGATTAATCGTGATTAATCGCATCCAAAATAAAACTTTTTGTTTACATAATATGTGTGTGTGTACTGTGTATATTTATTATGTATATATAAATACATACACATACAGTATATATTTTGAAAATATTTACATGTATATAAATGTATATATTTATATTCTTATATTTTATAGGGATGCACCGATACCACTTTTTTCAGTACTCGCCTGATACCGATACTTTTATTTTTGGTACTTGCCGATACCGAGTACCGATACCAATATTTTTATTGC